AATTGGAATTTTCAACATTAATAACACCTTATGCACAGGTTGTTTTAACAGTCAGGTCAGAAACCTTAAAATTGAGGTATATCCATCCACGATATTAAACTACTGACTAGCAGCACATCATCAAAAGTCATAAACCAAAGGATTTTAAACTACCAACTCGCAGCATATTTTGCCACAAAGGCATTGGTTGAAACAAATAATTCCTCAGGTATAGTGGCTTAAAATGTTTATAAAAGGACCCCATTTTTAATCATCAGAATACTTGTTTTTACTTCATTTATAATTATCACTAGTTTTGTATTATAATACAAATCCAATCTACTAAATAAGCTTTAAAATCTGCTTATTTCCAAATAAAAGAAATACTTTCGTATAGAATTTCACTGTCAATAATCCTGTTTTATTTTAAAAGCTCACTGACCCCTACAGGTGTTAAGTATGGTCACCACCACAAAGATGTGAAATTATTCTGTATATAACTATCAATATAAAGCTTAGCTACAACTGACTGAAAGTGTTTAACTGTAGAATTATAAATGGGGTCCATTTGGACCTTTTTTATTTTTAAATAAAATTTTCTAAACCATTTATATGTCTAGTTGTTTTTCTTTCCATAACTTTATTGGTTACCAGGTCTCTAATAGCACAAGATTCACACAAAAAAATGTCTACAAAAACATCATCAATATTGCAATTGATCTCACTAATATTGTTGGGGTTTCCTATAAATATAATATTACATATAAAATTTGTGAGTTCACTCAATATTTTGCTCACTTCTTCACACTAGGTGTTACAACAGATAAAAAATTAATTAATATGATACCTTTACACGAGTTCCACTGGAAAAGAACAGTATATAAACAAGTTACTTTAATGTTCAAAAATAACTTCGAAATAGCTAAAAAAGTGAAGATTTTAGTTCCTGACAAGCAACAAATGCACAACTTTTTCATACTAGTAAACCAAACAATTTTATTTCAACAATGCTTTTATTTATCATTTTGGATTAATTTTTAGATTTACATAAATACATGAATTTTACTACTACTACATTAACAAAATACAGAAACTACATCAATGGAGGTACATCATTGCTGATGTTAACTTATTTATAGCTTTCAAATAATTTCTACAATATTGATAATAAACCATGTACAAAAAAAAAAAGACTATAAAAATACAATAAAAAAAAGTTAAGCTAAGTTTTGACTTGGTAATCATACCTTGGAAAATACAAGTACTCAGAGATTCCATTGACAAGGAATTCAAACTAAGGTTATGTCATAAGTTAATAAAGTTTGGGAAAGTTACCATATAGGCTAAACTAAATTTGAAAGCTATTAACCTGAAAGTGTATGTTACAAACATTTACACTTTTAACATTTTTCCACCTATAAATTTCTGACTTTATGTTAAATTCCAGTTGACTACAAAAAATATTAATATCACAGTCTCAATGTCCTCCTCACATCTCACTCTGACCAGACTGAGGAAATAATTTAATCATATTTGTTAAATACAAAAACTTTTCTATAGAGCAAATTATTCACTTTCAGAACAAAACAACAAAAACAATAAATCAGTAATTCTGACTGTAGAGGTTGTGTTTAACTGGTAGGATGGAGAAATGTTCCACAAACTAAGTCTTGTTTTGTTTGTTTGAAACCAGTTGTAGGATGGAGAAAGGTTCTACAAACCAAATCTAGTTTCATTTAAAACCAGCTGAAAGACGGAGAAAAGTTCTCCAAACCAAGATTTATTTTGTTTCTTTGAAACCAGTTGTAGGATGGAGAAAACTTCTCCAAACCAAGATTTATTTTGTTTCTTTGAAACCAGTTGAAGGATGGAGAAAAGTCTTGCAAACCAAGTCTTGTTTTGTTTGAAACCAGTTGTAGGATAAAGAAAAGTTCTGCAAACCAAGACTTGTTTTGTTTGAAACCAGTTGAAGGATGGATCCTGAAGATGTTTAATAAACAAAAGTTGCAGAATATGTAAACTGCTTGAACATTTAGAGGAAAATACTACAGCAACAAGACAAGAGAGTGTTTGTTCTGTTTGTATCTAATTATTGGAGATTTAAAAAAAAAGACATTTTTAGGTCTTATCAGCATTAGGTAATTTAGATCCTTCCTCTTTTTTAATATTATTTAAAGAGTTAGCTTTAAACAGCTTCAAATGATACAAGTTCTTATGAAAACTACTGTGGTGTAAGACTATTTCCAGTTAATAGTATATCTGATTATTTCATAAACACATACCTTAAAAAAAAAAAAATGGAATGTTATTACCTACTATTTTATAGATGTACAATATAAACATATTAATTGCATTTATTATTGCACTGTGACTTATATATGAACATGTGGTCCACTTCAAACATACCCACTCTACATATTCCAATAAACACAAATTTTGACAAAAAAAACATATTCACGCACATATACTAGTATCAAATCTGAAAATCAAGTGATTTTTTTTCAACTTTGCATATGATGAAAACTTTTTTTTTTTACCAGCACCACTGGTGTTATCTTACATTTCTGTTTTGTTTTTTTACAAGCATTTTATAGTATATATATATTGCAGTTCTAATTGTTTAAGCCCTAAAACACACAGCTGTGGCTGTGGGACATGAACATACTGCACAGTGGCAACTCCTCTGAATAAAAAATACTGGAACAAATTTAGTCTGGATATTTCTGGGGGAATATCGCCGTGAAAAAAAAATTGAAGTGTGCTTAATGAATATGAGGAATTAAAGTATGAATATCAATAAGCACCATGTAATAGATTTGGGGGAAATCACATATAAGACCGTTACACAATGAATTACCTATACATGGTTCCCTTTTCATATAGAAAAGCTACCGACAGCTGGAATGTTATTTTCTTTAATCAAAATATCCATATTCAAAGCCATATGAGGAATCACACTAAAATGTCAAATGGTGTTAAATAATGAGTTCCAGTGCACTCAGAATTACACACACATACAACATACGATACTGCCATAATTCTTCATAACACTCAATACAAACTGATACTGTTTGGTTTCTTTATTACACCCAGCATGAACTGATACTACCGAGATTCTTTATTAAACCCAACACAAACTGACAGTACCAAGAATCTTTATTAAACCCAACCCAAACTGATAGTACCAAGATTCTTTATTACACCCTACCCAAACTGATAATACCAAGATTCTTTATTATACCCAACACAAACTGACAGTACCAAGATTCTTTATTACACCCTACCCAAACTGATATACCAAGATTCTTTATTATACCCAACACAAACTGATAGTACCAAGATTCTTTATTACACCCAACACAAACTGATAATACCAAGATTCTTTATTATACCCAACACAAAGTGACAATACCGAGATTCTTTATTATACCCAACACAAACTGATAGTACCAAGATTCTTTATTACACCCAACACAAACTGAT